AAATGTTTTCTAGCAAACTCACCTTACAAAAATACTAAAGGAAGTTTTTTTCAGGCTGAAAGCAAGTAAACCCATACAGTAATTTGAATTTACACACACACACACACACACAAACCAAAGAGCACCAGTAAATGTGATTATTTAAAAAAGTATAAATGCATATTATTTTCCTTTATTCTCTTAATTGATTTAAGAAGCAAATATAAAGGATAATGTAAATATGATGTATTGTTGGGCCTAAAGACATAGAAATGTAATATGTATGTAATATGCTCGCCAGTAACAGCACAAAGGAGGTGGGTGAGAGCACAGGTATATTGGGCTAAGGAAATGACTACAGATGGTAAAGTAATAATTGTAACAATTTATCATCAGGTTTGTAACATTAACAGATGTATATATATAACAATAATAACACAAAAAGGTGGAAAAGGGCCTAAAACCCAATTGGATTAATATTTCCATAAATTACTGGAATTAAGCTGGTGTAAATTAGAAGCTCATTCTAATACGTTAGGATGTATATGGTAAATCTTAGAGCAACTACTAAAAAATAAATTAAAAGTATTGAGAATAAAATAGTGGTTCTTGGAAGCTGAGGAGGGTGGGGGAGGGGAGACATTTGTCAACAGGTACAATGTTACAGTTAGATAGAAGGGACAAGTTTTGGTGTTCTATTGCACCGTAGGGTGTATAGAGTTAATAATAACATGTTGTATGTTTCAAAATAGCTGGAAAAGAGGATGTTGAATGTTCGCATCACAAAGAAATGATAAATGTTTAAGGTGATGGACATGTTGGTTGTCCTGACTGGATCAGGACACAATGTATGCATGTATCGAAACATACATTGTACCCAGCAAGTAGGTACAACTATTACATAACAAAGAAAAATAAAATAAAACTTCAAAAATCTAAAAAATATAGTGAAAAAATCATTAAAGAAATTAAAATACTACATTAGAAAATATTCACTTAATGCAAAAGAAAGCATTAAAGCAGGACTAAAGGAGCAAAAAAAGACATGAGACACACAGAAAACAAAAAGTAAAACAGCAGATATAAATCCAACTATATCAATAACGTAAATGTGAATAGATTAAGCAACCCAATTAAAATGCAGAGACTAACAGATTGGATAAAATAACATAATCTAACTTTATGCTGTCTATAAAAGATGTACTTTAGATTCAAAGACACAATTAGATTTAAAGTAAAAGGATAAAAAAAAATCATGCAAACTGCAACCACAGGAAAGCTGGAATGGCCAAGACAAAATAGATTTTAAAATAAAAAATATTACTAGAGATAAAGAGGAATATTTCATGATGATAAAAGGTTTGATCTATCAGGAAGATATAGCAATTATAAACAAAATGCACCTAATAATAGAGCAGCAAAACACATGAAGCAAAAACTGACAAAAATGAAGAAAGAAATAAACAAATCAAAAATAATAGTTGGAGACCACTACCTGACTGTCATAATGAGTAGAATAACTAGACAGAAAATCAAAAACGAAATAGGAAACTTAACACTATAAACCAACTAGACCTAACAGACATCTATAGAACACTCTACCCAAAAATCTTCAATACAACACTAGTAAATTGAATTCAACAGTACATCAAAAAAATAATCCACTATGACCAACTGGGCTTCATCCCAGAGATGCAAGGATGGTTCAATATATATAAATCAATAAATGTGATTCACCAAATAAACAGAAGCAAAAACAAAGACCATATGATCATCTCAATAGATGCAGAAAAAACATTTGACAAAATTCAGCACCCTTTCATGATAAAAACCCTCAACAAACTAGCCATGGAAGGAACATATCTCAAAATTATAAAAGCCACATATGATAAATCCACAACCAACATCATGCTGAATGGGGAAAAGTTGGAAACATTCCTCCTAAGAACTAGAACAAGACAAGGGTGCCCACTGTCACCACTTCTATTCAACATAGTGCTGGAAGTCCTAGCCAGAGCAACCAGGCAAGGAAAGGAAATAAAGGGTATCCAAATTGGGAAAGAGGAGGTCAAACTACCACTTTTCACTGACGACATGATCTTGTATATAGACTCCATCAAGATACTCCTAGAATTGATAAATAAATTCAGCAAAGTCTCAGGTTACAAAATCAACGTACGTAAATCAGTAGCATTTCTATATACCAATAACAGTCAAGCTGAGAACCAAATCATAGAAAATGCAATTAATTTTCCTCCAAGGAATGCTCCTGATTCAACACTCCCCCCAACACACTCAGGATACTTTCAAAGCCTTCAAAGAACACGAAACTGGCTCTCCCAATGTGGCTATTTCCCTTCCAAGATGATTCTTCCCACCTTTGTTATTCTCAGAAACCTGCATCCCCACAAAGAACAATGGGAACAAGGATCTTCTGGGGAAGTGGACCCAAAGCTCTCACTCGTCCCACCCCAGGGGTGGCTGTGAGCCTCCGCCCTGACAGAGAGAAGGCTCTTGGTGTGGGGAGGAAGCCTACTGGGTGTGTCCTGTGGCTGCTTCTTCACAGACCCAGCAAGCTCTCTTCTCTTCGTCCCTCCTCATCCTCAGCCTTGGTGCCTGGAGCAGCCTTCTACCCATCAGACCAAAGAGCTGTGGGAAACCCAGCAGGGGGACTGACAGGGACCTCAGCCCCCCGGAAGGTGGTGGCCCAGGTTGACACACAGGTAGACATGCAGAGCTATGCGGGCTCTCAAAGGACACCAGACCCGGCCTCTTACAGGCACGTCTCCCTCCACCAGCAGCAGCCCTGACATGTCTCAGTTCTGAAAGATCAGCCCATCCTGTTCGACACAAGAGGTGCTTTGCCCCCAGTGGAAGGAAAGACTGAGGGCAAGGTCTAGATCAAGAGGGAGCTACATGCACACATCCAGGGGGAGGGAAGGGGTGGGAGAAAAGGAGGGGAGAGGGAAGAAGAAAGGAAGCCAGAAGTCAGAGAGAGAGAGGGAGAGAGAGAGAGAGAGAGAGAGAGAAACAGATCCAGAAATAAAAAGAGCAACAGATGGAGAGAATAGCAGGGGAGGGAGAACTAGAGGTGGTAGGCAGAGGAAGGAAAAGAAGGAAAGAGAAAAGCAAATTGCTGTGAAGTGAATAAGCAGTAGGTGGCAGCCTTCACACCTCCAAACAAAGCCTCTGCAGGACACTTTCCTTAATTCAGGATGACTCTAGCCTCTCAGGATTTTGGCAAAGCTGAACATTATATCTGGATTTGCTTTTCTGTACCTGCAACTCAATTCTGACCCATTAGCTCCCTCTCAGGCCACAGTGATTGGATGCCTGGGTATGTGACCCAAGGCAGTCCAGTGAGATTCCACCCCAGGACCTTTCGTGGGACCATTATGACAAGGAAGCTCTTTTCCATTGGGACTTTGGGTAAAAGGTTGGTGAAAGCCTGGAACTGCCAGAGACCACTACACAGGGACAGCCTACATGAGAATGAAGCCAGCAGAGGGGGAAGCAGAATAGGAAGACGGAGATGAAGTCCTGACAAAAATCATCTGTGCTCCTGGATCCAGCTGTGCCTGAAGTCATCCCCACCCTGGGACTTTTCAGGTATATGAGCTGCTTCTCTTTTATGCTTAAGTCAATTTCAATCGGGAATTCTATCACTAGCAATCGAAACAGTCCTGCTAGAATGTGAAAACCTACCTATCAGTCTTGCCTCTTTCATCAGCTTCCAGAAACCTCCCCTGAGTACATACCCAGGTCTCCTGACAAATGTGGTAGCAAACTGTCCCTGGGACAGCTAGGACTGTCCCTCAAGGGAAATACAAAGGCCAAGTAGGAGAACTGCTAAATAATGATGTTTGAAAAGTAAAACTATCACAAGGAGAAAGGAGGGCAACGCTTGGTGCATACAGGGCCGTGTTCTGACTTTCACAGGCCATGGGCACTTCTGCCGACATGGATCCGTTCCTCCATAAAAAAAGGTTAAAAATTATATTTTATAACTGCATTGGTATAAAGACAAATATAATCTGGACTGTATGTCATATTCATTTTTTCCTTCTGATTTTAAAAGAAATTAAAATATTTTAGTGGACCCCTACCAGCAGCATAGACCCTCAGCACTGTACCTACTCTGCCTGATGGATAGGTTGGCCCTGGGCCCATATTGTCCAGATTGCTTGTCTACGCAGTCCAGTTTCCCTGGAGACTAATCTGACTCTCTTCTCCTTGTCTGCAAGGGGTGGAGGAATCTGGTGAGTGCCTTAGCACCTGGCTCGCCTTTCTCTCTCTCCACATACCTCCCAGGGTCATCACCCTTGGCTTCATCTTCAGGGAGCCCGTTGCACTGGGGACTAGTCTGGCGTTATCACTTTGCATCATGAGGAGCTTCTTCCAGTCTGTCCGGGTCTGGTGACAGACCAAGAGCTCCTCAAGGACCAACATCTCGTTCATCACTGTGCCCGAGTCCCAGCACAGGCCTGGTGCAGAGCAGATCCTCAAGGAAACGAAGCCAGCACAGAAGGAAGGAGAACCAGGAAACAGGGACAAAGTCCTGACAAAAATCTTCTGTGTTCCTGGATCCAGCTGTGCCTGAAGCCATGCCAGCTCTGGGACTTTTCAGATATATCAGCTGATTTCCTTTTATGCTTAAGTCAATTTGAATTGGGAATTCTGTCATTAGCAATGACAGAGGCTGCTTCCTCCTTAAGAAACTCTTGTCACCTAGGATTTGCCCCCAGGCCAGTCAGGACACATAAAGGGATTAAGTGGGCTGGGTGTGAGATGTGAACACAATGTGCGCCCATGAGGATCTGCTCTGCCAGACCTGTGCTGGGACTTGGGCATGCAGTGAAGGTTTTTCTCTGAGGTTTTTCTGGGTCCCCATCTGTTCTGCAGGGCAGATGTGCTGACATGGAAAGCTGGAGGGGGCTACGTGGGCCAGCCCTATGGTTGGGCTGGCATCATGCCGAGGGGCTCCCAGGTGAGTCCCTTGGCCCCAGCTCCCCCTCACTCACCTTCATCACTGGTATGAGGCTCGGTGCCATTGTCATGGTCAACTTCATCGATGGTCCCTGGCTCACTGTGTGGGCTGTCACTGCAAGGAAACATGGGAAGGGGACTCACTGGGGAGCTGTCTACCCTCACACTACCCTGAGCCCCCCATGAGTGCCAGCCCAATCCACCTCTGGGCCCTAACCTAGCTCAAATGCAGGCACACGCCGTCCTGTCTTTTCCATCCGAAAACCACTCCCAGCTCCCTCACTGGGAAGCCTCCCAAATGCCTCCCCCAGCTCCCTCCTAGCCCCGGAATCTGCTGGGCTATCTGTTGGGCAAAGGCTGTCAATGCTTACGTGTTCTGTAAGATCCAGAGGGCAGTGGCAAAACCCCAGCATTCATCATCGAAAGGACCAGAGCCCAGAACAGGAATCTTTGAAGTACTATGAACCATCTCATCTGGCCTGACTCCCCTGTCTTACAGCTGAGGTGACACGCCCCATGAGGTGAAGCGAAGCTAACAAGGGCTGCCTTGGGAGTCTGTGTGCAAAAGCCCAGATCCATCGAGGCAGTGAGAGCAAACCAGGCTGGCAACCGTGATGAGCATGAGGGCTGAGTGACCCAGGGCCTTCAAATTTAGTTGTCAATGTGCTGGATTAACTTCACCAGCTGCTGACCCCTTGCTAGATTATGAGCTTCTCGAGGCCAGGGTTCATTCACCGAAGTCAGTTTTTCTTTACAAAGCCACTGAGTCCTAATATATGCCACACAGTATGCTAGGTAGGAGGGGAGCAGTGATAGGCAAGGTAGACAAGTTCCCTGGCCTCATGTTACTCACATTGCAGGGAGAGGAACGAGAAAGACGCCCAAGTAAACAGGCCAGTAAACAAGACAGGCGCAGGTTCAAATAGCGTTATACAGGAAAGACATGGACAGAGACCATAATGGCAGAAGGGACCTACAAGGAAAGGAAGGCTTCTCGGAGGAGGTGGCATTTACAATGTCATTTAAAGGGATATGGACTTTACTATGAAAAATTCTCCACTGCCACCTGGATGAGATCCAGACTGCACAAGGCTTCCGACACTTTCCATAACCTGGCTCTATCCGACCTGCGGAGCCTCTTCCCACTGCATTACCCTGTCACATGCTACACTCCGGCCACACTCAACCACTTTTCCTGTTATTGAATGCTCCGAACCTAGAATATTCTTTGCCCAGTCCCCATTGGGCTGGCTCCGGTTGATCCTGCAGTCTCAGCTCCATCTGCATTTCCTCCAGGAACCCTTTCCTGACTTGGCCAGATCGGCTCAGGGAGCCCCACTTCTGGAACTGCCTGCTTCCTGCTCCATCAGAGCTCCCTGCACTGGACATTAAGCTGGTTCGGGTTACATCCTGACTCCCAGCTCAGGACTCAGCTCGCAACACATGCTTGGTAACCATTTGTTGAATGAATGAATGTTGTCTACTGTGCTGAGACCCTCTGCCAAATCTCCTTTTTTGGCTTTGAAAACTCCTCCAAAATTACCGTGTAATTAATAGTTTTCCAGTCTCACGGGAAACAAATAGGATTAAGAAAAGTGTGGTGATTGTGCATTGTTCTTTGGTAAGTACACGAAGATCTGCGGGTCCCTTCCCACAACACTAATTATACATATTGCAGCAAGAAAAGAGAACTGGTTATGGTTGCGAAAACTGTGTGAAAAGCTTCTCTTTGTCCAGAAATTATGCTTGCTGGCTGTTTAATGTTTCTGTTACAGAACAGGGATAGACTTGGTTCCCTGGTGCCCCAAATAAGATTAGAGAACTGTGATTAGACATCATCATGCCCAGTATTCCTATGTGGGGAGGCATGTTGGGGGGAATACAAAAGGCTGGAACACCTCCTTTCTTTGAAGCAGCTGCCCAAATATGCCCACAGAACTAAGGCAACGCAAGAGTCCAGGAATGCTTTAACAATCAAAAAACAAACTCCTCTGTAGGCACCTGGCTGAAAGCAGCGTGGGTAACGGCTAAATATATAGCGGTGTGCTGTCCTGGATTGGGAACAAAGAAATAGTAGGAACCCGCTGACTGGTCTCTGTCGTTTAGTGTTCTCAATTTCCCATCTTTGCCACGTTTTAAAATTTTCTCCTGTCTTCACATTTTAAAGTCGTAGCCTGGGGAAGGTAGTCAGCCCTGATTTTTAAACGGTTCTAAAATATTTCTTCTAGGACCCGTGTCGTACCAGGTACACAGAGGTGCCCATCTAGTGATTGCTGACCCGCTGTGAAACACTCAAAAAAAAAAAAACTGAGCTCACATAGCCTGGAAAAGAGAACTCCTAGGAGAGAGGGGACAACGGTGGGAAGTGTCACACTCAGTTCATGAGGCTGAGGTGGGGGTTATCCACTGCCCTGCTTCCTGAGATGGGCCCGTGACCCACCTGGCCAGTGGTAGCATTACCTCTTCTAATCAATGTGATTGCTTCACCAGACCCAACCCCCAGCAATGAAACACAATTCTTGGCTTGGCTTGGGACATTTGGGAAAGAGAAGCTCTTTTTCTATTGAAAATGCTGAATGAGTTATAAATCTAAAGTTGCTGGCTGCCTCTTGTGACCACCAAGGGAAAGGCTGTTTGAGAATGAAACCAAAACAGGATAAAGCAGAGCCAAAGCATGGTGGTTGCAGGACCAAGTCCTCATGATAATAGTTGAGCCCCTGGATCAAGCTATACCTGAAGATATATATTCTCAGACTTTTTAGTTAAGTAAATCAATACATTCCCATTTGGCTTAAGCCAGTTTGAACTGTATTTCTGTCCCTGGTAACCAAGAGAACCTTGACTGATGTACCTGTCTCTCATGTAAGGCTGCTGCGAAGCTCAAATGAGAAGATGCATATGGAAGCACAGACTACCGCAGTAAGAAAACTGAAGGGCTTCTTACTGTTGCCATACAACAGCAGCAACAACGATGATGACAATAATTATATTAAGAGGAATGGCATCTTACCAATATTCTTCCCCTCCAGCCATGCATTTTTCATACACAGGTCCCTCTAGCTCCCGGGGGCTGGGGAAGATGGCTTCATGATGGATGATGATGGTTTTGATGACTTCATTGACGTGTGCCTGGCAGGACACAGGGTCCTGCCCATCAGGGATGTGCATGAGGGTGGGCCCGAAGCAGATGGCCAGGTTGTAGGGATCCATCATGTTCTCGTCGCTATACTGAGACAGGCTAGGAGAGAGGAGGTACCCACAAGTCATCTGGGAAAGGCAAATCCTGCCCCTGTGATTTCTTTCTTATGGGGGACTCTACTCAAATCCTGAAGGTTCCACGTTCTTCTTTAAAAACAGCACCTGCGAAAGCCTCAGGACACACCCTCCCAAAGGGGGCCAGAGCCAGTCAAAAAGGGGCTCTTGTCCACTATTCAATGAGTATACAGAAAAAAAGGGGGCCCTTGGCCAGGCACTCACTGGTTGAGGAAGGCGAAGAGGTATCTCATGACCACGATGACCACGCGGGGAAGGGTGACGAGGATTTGTTGGATCTGGTGCACCCTCTCAGCTGGGTTCTCCAGTTCTGAAACACAAAAGGGCTTTTCAAGGGCGCCTTTCATCCTCAGACAGCACAGAAGGAAACGTCCACATATCCCACCTCCCCTATCGGCCCACGTGGAGCGGGGGAGTGAGCTCTGCACGCAGTTGCGGGATCATACGAGATCCTGGCCTGGCGGATCAGAGCATCACGGGAGGGACTGGGGGGTGTAGCCTAATCAGAACCAATCAGAGTCGAGCCTTGGGACTGTGAGCGGGAGAAACCCACAGGGAGGTGCCTTCCTAAAACTGAGTGGGCAGAAGCCTGGAGCAGCTGGGGGCCCCCAGGAAGGAAGATCCTGCCTGAGAGTGAAGCTAGCACAGAGACGAAGGGGAGACAGACACCATGGGGGACAGACGCCATGGGAGGGTCCGCATCCAGCTAGGCCTAAACTTTTCAGGTACATGAACCAATGCATTCCCTTTAACAGACTGAGCCAGTTTGAGTTTCTGTCACCTGCAACCTGTGTGTCCTGACAAACACAGGCAGGGACCGTGTTTTATTAAACCCTTTACAAACACCAACAGCAGCATAGGCCTGGCACATAGTAGTTGCTCATGAAATGAATGTCGAATAAAGAACCCCCTCTCAAGCTTGGGAATCTCCTCTCTGACCTCTTTTCAGGTCAGTTCAAGACCTGAAATCTTCTCAAGGCCCTGCACAGGAACTGGATTATTGGGGGGTTCTGGAAACACTGGCTGAG